AGTAGACCTTACCTTCAAAGTTTTCGGTAACCTCCATTTTACCCTCATCCTGAAAATATAATTTTTCAATTATTTAAAATACAACTTAAATCAATCGCTACACTACTTAAGAAAAAGAAAAGGGGACACTTTCAACAGACCAGTGTGAAACTATTACACCCTATCAGATAAAGTCTGAGAGAAAAAAACATGATACTCTAAGCCTGGAAATTTACATCTTTATCATCATTTTCAGTCCCTGTGACATCTACGAGTGCATAGTCTTCTGGTCGGATAAGCTCTCCATATTCATCCCACTTGATCCGTTCCTCATGGAATGGGAACATAGGATAAGACTTCCGAGCATGCTTAAAAAAACTTGTGCCTTTCTTCCCACCCTGCAATATAAAAACAACTCATTTCAGAGCAGTGCATGACTCAGAATTATACTAAATGTCTTAATGACATTCATGACAATGTTCCAATAAAGAATGAAACGTAGAATCAACTATGGCCTCTTGTCTGTCATTTTTCGGAGCCACCATACTCATATCTTGATGACATAAACAATAAGAACTATTTACTGCCTTCTGTTTCTCTTGAAAACCTTTCAGTCTTATTAATTTCCCAGTTGCAATTTTCTGTCAAATTGCACCAAATCACATCATGTTTTGCATGCAAGTCTCCCTGTTGTAAATGTATTTCATAATTCTTAATACAACATTAATAAACACAGCTCCTGGTAGCAGTAGTTTGGCTGTAAAGACACTTACTTTAGTCTGTTGTGAGGCCACAAAAACGGAACAATTAAGGGCATGTTTTTTCATTCCTCATACATATCCAAAGGCATTAACTTGATACAACTTACCTCCGGCTTCATCATCAGATCATGGCTGGATTTACTAAGACCTTTCATGTCATTATCCAATTCATCCCCACTCTCGTCGCTGCTTGATTCCGCATCTAATCTGAATGCATAAGTATTACAGTATTTCTATTTTCTGACAATATACTTTTAATTTTCAAACATTTACAGGGACTTGGACACCTAATTTGGTTTATTAAATTTATAGAAGCAATACAAAAACAATAAAAATGGACAAGGGATATATAACAACAGTTGTATTATGAACATCCATAAAAAATATTTAAGTTTAAATAAAATGTACAGTTTATAGCCCAACATCTCATTTGAGCATTA